AGTGGACGGTGTCGCACGGGAACGGCTGACCTGTTGCTGATACTGGCGGTAATAGTTATTGAGCGCCTAGAGGTGGTTAACGTAGAATATGTATTTAGTAGACGGGGCGGGGCTATAGAGGAGTATATCTTGGAGTTCGCGAGAGATCTCTTGGAATAATAGAGAGACCAGTGCGCTCTCTGGTATTTCTGCTTCTAAGGCTAGACGTTGGAACTCTGATAGGTAGGCGGTAAAGTCTAGGTTCTTCTGCTTCTATTGGAAAAGACGGTTCTGGGTATTCTAGGTGCGGTTAGGGTCGCTAAATGCTCTTTCTAAGTACTCTAGCATCTGCGGGTAATCGACGAACTAAGGAATTCTATATTGAATCTTTGGTAGCATTAATGCGTACGCCTTTCTAGTAAGTCGTCCCGCTACGTATAGTATACGTCTAGTAGCTTGCGGAAATCAGTCCGCGTTCGCGTTTATTTTGCCGTAGATCTACTAGATAAACTAGTGTAGGTCGCTTTAAGTTCTATCAAATTCCTTTAGGTTAGATATTCTCTCACTAAGGCTGAGAGTTCGGGAACTTAGGGGAGTAGTAGGCGCAGGCGGTCCCGCTAGGTCGTCTGCGGTGGCCTTAGCAATAGCAGCAGAAGTAGGGGAGAACAAAGTGACAGCGGGGGTCGTCAGTACCGCAGGTATAGCCGCTGTGGCGAGCTGGGTCTTTTTAATCTTAAGTTAGGTGATCTGTTTCTGGTCGGCTGCTAACTACTCCTTCTGGTATTAGATAACGGCCTCTCTCTCCTTAACCTAGATTCGTAGGGACTGTTCGTGGTCTTNGGACGCGATGAAGTTTTCCTTAAGTTTCTAGGAATACTAAGTAGTATTACGAAGGTACATTAACTACTCTCTAGGATGCGCTGCTACGCTAGTAGCGAGCTCCTCAGGCGTCTCAGGGAAGCAGAGTAGCTCAGGGCGGTTCATGGCGATATAATACGCGTGCCTNTAAGGAGGAGCTACGTAATGTCACGGTTTAGGCTTATAGATAGAAAGAATAGGCACGTGTACAGAGTATATTGCTACAGCTAATTAATAGGCTCTCGCTACAGGTAGTAAGAGTAGAAGACAGGACGTAGCTCAAAGAGCTCTCTAGACTGCAGTGCTGTAGTTTTGTAGAATCCGGGTGCTCGGGCCCGCACC